GATGAAATAACGTGAATGAATCGCTTATTCAAAGTAAATCGCCACTCCGCACTCGTCATTACTTTTGGCACTCGCTAATAATGCTTAAAGCAAAATGCCACTTACGGTTTAACTAGTTCAACGCTTATGTCTCTAAATATATTCAACCCAGAGAGTGCAGAGTGATGAAATGTCTTTAATCAATCACTTATTCAATGTAAATCAACACTCCGCACTCGACAATAACATTCAGCACTTGTCAATAGTGTGTAGCGGCCATGTATATATATTTCCTCCAGTTACCCCCGCAACTCATTTTCTAGGAACGTTGCTAGCCTAGTGAATTCTAGCAGAGTTACCCATCAATTCTAACTCAACATTATTATCCATGTTATTGCCTTAAGCATCATTATCAATTAGCAACTGCAGTTGATATTCTGTTGAATATGATTTAGCTACATATGCATATTATTAGCACCGACCTAGGGGATTACAACGTCAAGTAACTCCAGTTGTCGTAATCATTTGCATATCTGTAATACCGTTCTTAATCTGGCCTCCGGACCTTGACCCAGTAAATTAGGAGCATTCATTGTGTGTTTCATTCCCCCAGGCCCCAATTCGAATCACAATTGTAAGACACTAGCGCAGTCTGGTCTCTGACTTACACGCCTTAGCCGAACCATAGGACGTTTGGTACAACCAAACGTTTGGCACGAGGCATAGACCTTAAGAGACTCAATACCGCGCCGCTAGCATTCCCACGTCTTACAAGTGCTTAAAGCAAAACNTCTTGGAAGCCAAAATTTGGCTCTGCTTTATTCGGGTCGAAACCGTGTCACCCCAACCCAGCAACACTGAGCACACACAACTTCCGAACGCACACAACGAGGGGGTAACTCAGCCAAAATGAGCTTACCTCAACACCTCGTTTACAATGCATAAACCAGACTGTAAACACTTCCTAAGTGCAAAAAATAGATAATATAATACAATAAAGTCAACATATTTTTAATCATTTGGCAAACTAATCACAGTTAAAAATCTGATAATCTTAAACAAATTCCAAAGAGACCAAACTCTCCATCGTTCACGACTATCAGCGCGCGTTATAACGAGGTTAGGAGCAGCTCAACCAATCACGTTGGAGCTACACCTTGTCTCGTCCTAAGACACTAACTAAATCCTACAAACACCACAGCTAGACGAGATTCCATATTACGGACACGAAATAATATTTATTTACGCATTACTTAGTCATAAATAAATTAAACCTTTGAGTTAACAAAATAATATCACAGTTTTATGAGAATCCTTGTTACAGTCACAAAATAAATGTTACCAACAATTGACTAGTCACTAACCTAGCACAGGATTAATAGAACGTACAAGTAAACAAAAAAAATATACCACGAAATAAGCATCTCGTCATAATAGTATCACTCCGCACTATTCTATTACAGCGTCAGCTTTTAAAATCACGGAATCGCCCGATTCTCCGCCACATTCGATCGATCCATTGTTCGCCACGTGTTCTGCACTTCAGCGTCTTCAGCTTTTAAGTGTGACCCGGGAACTGGCGACACGATGAAAGTAATGTCAAGAATTTTGCAAAGGCCAGGGAGTAAGCTTTTATCTCTGTTGGAGTTAGAAGCCTCATGCCCCATTGCATTACCATTTATTTCATCCTCATGGCATCCAGCAACCCTCCGGGCCTCACTCTAATCTCTACCATCTACTTCTGAAGGTGCCAACAACTAGTGCCAATACTTCAAACCAGGCAGACCTGCTTCGACAGGTGTTACAGTAACTAATCAGCCAGATATTTTCCACCTCCAACCCATAGGCTACTGGCACAGCAGATGCCTGGAAGACGCTTAAAAGTTGAGGCAGAAAAATGCCCCTTACTTTCCTCGCGTGCACACGGAGAGACGGTAGCGCTGAACCTGGAATCTACAACAAATAATTTGCAATTGTGCAAGCTCCTCGAGCATTGTAAGTCGCAATGAATATTTTTACGCCTCTTTCTGATACGTTTCGAGCGTCAGTCGTAACTCGTGAAAAATTACTGAACACCGCAATAACATTTAGAAGTTGTATCCTAAACTGAGCAATTCTAACTCCCTGCAACAACTGCACCGACAAAATCAACAGTTTGCACATCGATTTATACCAAGAGATAAGCTAGTAAAATTAACAACTACCGATTAAGAAAGAGCAAGAAATAAAAGTCAAACTATCTGTTATGAGCTATAACGAATACAGCCTTGGGTGTCCATTAATAACTGATTCTGTATGAGCATTAACAGCTCCGGTACTGATAGCAATAAAAAGATCTATAATGTATTAGCAAACTAAGTGAAAGAGCAGTGCAGGTTTAGTATCCTTGGTACAAGTCAAGAATTGTAGCAATATTGTTGCCTCTACTCCGCTTGCAGCGCCAGCTTTTCTGCCGCAGCCCCGCCCCCTGGGCATAGAGCGAACGAACACTACATTATGTTAGCTGACGAGTTCCCNGTGATATGTTCTCGCAGGTGATGTTTAAAATATCGAGGCAATGTAATGGCGCTGTTTCGTTCACACATCTGTCAACAATAATTTCGAGTAACGCTGTTGCGTCAAGACGAAGCAGTTCATCAAATTGCCTTCTTGGGCTACTGACGTTATTGTCGTCATCCAAGCTGATTAGGTCATATATAAATTATGCATCAATATTTAATTAAGACTCGGGTTTCACAACTGATTCAAGTGAAGGCCAGAGGCTATACCACCGATTACCACAGAGTGAAGTTTTCTTGCACCAGCATTTATTTGTGTTGATTTCGTTGAATGTTGGTTTAGTTGGTAAGTCATATTCCTCAACTACTCCATGGTTCAAATTGTTATGGTTTAAAATAATTATTGTAAATATCTTCTATTGAGGGATTATTGTGTGTTCATTCGTTAAACGGCTAATGATAATAATCAGCCTGGCTTCGTTTTCCATTAATGCGCATGTATTATACTCTTTGTTAATTGCTTTCGAGCAATTCTTTTCGGAACGCAACGAGCCTATCCTTTTCGGATTTAAGTCCTAGTATAAGTTTAGCCCCTCAAGTTCTGCGATGATGATGTCCGTAAGACTAACATGTTAAGGAATTTGAAATCCAAAACAAAAATTATATGTTTGACATCCAGTACGAAAAATTTGTTGCTAGTCTTAAATAATATTCCTATTACGAATACAATATGGAGATAGATTGGCTTCCTCAGTTCCTGGCTCAATCACGAGCAATAGGCTCCATTGTTCAAGCACACAAAAATTTGCTTTCGCTTCTCTATCACGGACAAGTTACTATATATAATCAATTGAAAATACCTCACAAAAAACCCACCATGGGCTTCCTGCTTGTGTTTGAGGCTTTCTTATCATGCCTCAGTCAATCACTAATTATCTGACCATCGTTCCATTCATAGCATCACCGCGTGCCATGCCCACAAATTATAATATGAGCATTTAAATGAAAGTTTTGAATCGGGCGATGAAATTGACGCTCTTTCCACATTTTTTAAAAGCGAAAGTATCTATATATATTTATTTATTTAATGTAACATGATTGAATTTAATTAAATTCAATTTTTAATATTATTAACTTTTCATTTGCGTTAACCAAATTTTAATTATAAAGAAAATATTTCGTGCAGTGACCGCATTTAATAAATTCTCCAAGTGCGATATAAAGCTAAAAAAGGCAAAATTTTAAAAATACATGCGACTAAATATTTCTTATAATACTTTTTACTTTCTTGAACTGGTTTCTGAAATTTTAATTTTTCGATAGTTCAATGCTTGCTCGCCGAAAAGGAAGTGAGATTGGAGACTGTAAAATAATTAAAATGACTAGTTCCAAAACGCTAATGTTTTTTTTTTCTCCAAAAGACACCTCGATATTAAGATAGAAGTGGCAGGAATTATCTGCGACTTTCGTTTAAATTCATCAAAATGTTCGTGGAGCTCATACTTCTTCTGGCGCTTGTGGCTTTACTGTCATTATCATTCAGGAAACCTGCGCGTATGCCACCAGGTAAGCATACTACTCGTACCTCTCCCTTAAACCCCATGATAAATACAAACCTTTTCTCCAGTTATGTCCCATGTCACTGAGATCATTCAAATGGACGACCACCACGATTTTTTACTACCACAAACTTGAGATCAAGGGTTTTTTCCCGTTTCCGCTGGAAATTCATCGGAAAAATTTTTCTCCAATATTCCTGTACGTATTATAGAGCAATAAATGAAATTGTTAGTTCAAGGTCACGTTTACAGTAATTTTTCAATAGAAAAATTAATAAATATTTCGGTTTGGCAAAACTGAGAATATACGCAAGTTCTAAAAATACAATTTAGAAACGTAAGGGAGGTGGAATTTGAAGAAAATTCGACCCTAAATAAGCAAATTTTATAATGCTGAGTAATGTAAATAATTATCTGTCCGAACTTATTTGAAGTTAATGATATTCCAAGAAACTACGTTTCTAGTGGTATAAGTTTTAAATTACTTCTTACAAACGCAAAGACTAGTCCATTGGCTCAATGATCGCCTGTGTATCCAACAGGTACTTTCGGGTGGCCAGTTTTGGGGGAGTTGCCGCCACGTTCAATTCCCATCACCGAACATTTGGCGAACCTCAAGAAAAAGCGAGGGGACATTTTCACGTGGGTTGAACTATGATATTAAAAATAAGTACTCAAACGTAATTTTTACGAAGAACAAACTTTTAATTGAAAAAAAAAATACAAATAACTCATAAGATTTCTTGTCATTCTTTTTAATTACTTTTCAGCGTATTTTCAGCCCTCACACAGCCAACAGTTCACTTTTCTTGTTCAAAACGGAATCCGAGTTCGTGTAAAAACATTTTAAAACTTTTTGTCCACTTTCACTTTGATGTATGCGGTTACTTCCTACATTATTTACAGGCCTTGATCTACGGTTTACTTTACATTTTATATTCAGTAAAAAATGGATTATTTAAAGTTGAGTTATTCAATAACTATTACGTTTAATTGAAGGCTTTTTGCACTTTTCATTTATTATTCTGTACAGGTATAGTGAGAAGCCATGGTTCAGTGTGGGCCGAGAACCGACGGTTCATGTTACGCCACTTGCGTGATCTCGGTATGGGCAAAACAGCGCTCGAGGGCTCCATTCAACAAGAGGCCGAGATGCTGGTGGATCACTTGGATAAAACCTGCGTCGGCAAGCCTGCCGTCATGGATCATTTCATCAACTGTGCTGTGGTCAACGTCATCTGGCAAATGCTCGCGAGTAAAAAGAATTTTGGGAAATTTCGATTATTCGATTGTTTGGACGCTAGAAATTAAATATCAAAATAATATGAAGATTGCATGATCACCCGAGGCTCTTTTTCTAATTTGTATGCTGGGGGAATTTGACTATTTTTCATTTGTGTGATAATTTCATCAAGAGAAGTAAATTATACGTGCAATAGCTGATGAAATAGCAGTTGGAAAGAATATTCCCGAGCAAGAAACCATGACGGTGTAAATTAATATAATTATCTATTTTCAATGATTTTTTTATGTGTTAAGGTAAATCTTACTTTTTCCAACATATGAATGGAGATGTATTAGACTTATTCATTTGACGTTGGTGATTTTTTGTGAGTGTCTGTATCACTGACAAGGACTTTTATTCTAGGCAAGCGATATGACATTGATGACAAGTTGATGCTGCGGTACAGTGGCATGATTGAAGAAGATATTGCCATCATGCAGGGGCGTGTGTTTCTTATCGACGTGTTCCCTTGGCTGGCCACAATTCTGCCCTCTTTTATCCTGAATAAATTTTTCAAAGTTGATGTTCTCTGCAGGAATCGAGACGAGATCCAGTCGATGTTCAAGGTGAGTGTTAATGTCTGTGGCGCATATCTTATCTAATCTCCCTTGGTTGTTCCCATGTACATAGATTGTTATCATAATAAATGACGATTGACTCAAAGAAAAAATTATTTCATGTGTAGATTTTTCTATTAGTATTTATGTCTATTTTAGGTGTGTTCTTATGTGTCTGCAGTGTGACCCTAGAAATCGTCAACTTTTAAGTGACTTATCTAGTATATATGATAATATGCTTGGACATTTCGGCATTGAATTTTAGAGAATAAACGTTGAAAACAAATATTCAAACCTGTATTTTTTCATCTGCCAGCAGATTAGGTTAACCATGAAATCAAACTCGAGTTCAAAAATGGACTACAAGAAAAAATACCAAGGAAGTGAAATCTGATTCTGACTATACTATACTTCCTGAGTCCTCGTTATTATAAACACATTTAGGATCATGTTATGTTACTAGTATAATAGTTAACTGAACAAACATGTAAAAGTTAAAACGATATAAACATATCTCGATAAGAAATTTTACGAGTTCTTCTTTTATGCTGCGTGAATCTATACCGAACGACTGAGCATTCGTTAACGTATCAACCATATACGTATACTTGCTCTTATTCCCTATACGATCGGCTCGTGTGATTTAACTTTTGTTATAGGAAGTTATTGACGATCACATGGCGACCCTTGACCCTAACAACCCTCGTGACGTCATCGACCAGCTACTGCTGGAGCGCGCCCATAGAGGCGCCTCTGACTACCTCACTCCTGAAGATGGTAACGGGTGTAATTTTTATCTAATGAAGACTGTAATAATAATAGTTATTTGCGAAATTAGTAACGATTTCAAGATGATAACTACGTTAATGCTTCGGACGATCATAAATTGAATATATGTTTGTTAACTCAATAGGACGGAGAGTGAATAGAAATTTATGTGCTTATTAGGTACTAGCTTGTCCATCGATAATTGCACTGAGTTTATATGATCTAAGGAATTTGTGCAAAGCCTGAATCTATTGATATCATTTCTGGCAGAATTATACAGGAATTTTATTTGCGAATTTTTTTTGTTGCCAAAGTGAGAGTAGTTTGAAGAAGTATATATAATAATGAAAAAAAATAAATTCTGATGCACACTCAAGTTTCCGTTCAATACAGCGATTTGAAGTCGTTGATGTACCTGTTTTCTGTCTGCACGCAGAACTAGACTTCACGAGCATAATGGGCGACATGTTCGTTGCTGGCTCTGAGACCACCTCATCAACTCTGCGTTGGATGATACTTTACATGGCCATCAATCCTGAGGTGAACATTCCTGATATTAAGTTTGAAGCAGAAGTTAATACCTGTGCCTAGCTGCCATAGCTTGATTAGCTTCTGCGATCTGCTTGGTTGATTTCAGTGGAATTCCTACAATTTTTAGGGTGGTTCCCCTATATAAACTCCATTATTGAAACCTTCACTGGATTGTTTCAAGCTGCTCCTGTTATGTATTTTCTGTAATTAAACGTTGACCCAAAATATATAAAATGTTATCAAGTCCCGTTGGATTAACACATATAATTATATAGAATGGGTTTAACCCGCGTAGTGAAAGCGATAAAGGTTTTATGGCATGTGATAACTAGTTAATCTAGTAATTCTAGTTGATAAGAGCTTATATTAACCTCACTTCTGAGCTCCGTTGTTCGAGGTGGGGCAAAAAAAAGAGCTTTTGTGCTTCTTCTATGTTCCCATTTTTATTACAGCCTTCTTTAGTATGAAATCGTCTGCTCACCATTGTACGTTGAATATCGTTATGATTATTCCTACGTCATATAATATGATAGAACAAAGAAAAGATTTCATGCGTAGCATTTAACATATTAACAAACTATCTTCGAAGCGTGTAGAACAAAATAAACGATATATATGAGTTCTTGGCAATCGTTAGATTTTCCTTTTTATGGATAAAGTTATTCTTTATTTTTCACAGATCCAAGCCAAAGTTCATGAACATTTGGACGCCGTGGTTCCCACTGATCGTCTGCCATCACTCACCGACAGAAATCAGTGAGTGGAGATGAACTGCTGAGATTTACCATCATGAGCATGATCAATAATTAAATTGTTATATTCAGTTAGGTGAGTTAATTGTTATATTCAGTTTAGATGAGTTATTTTTTATATCCAGTTAGGCCCCAAACTATCTTATTTGTAATTCTTAAGGCCCGTTTACACTAGGGGCAACGACATGGGCGGTGAGGCGCTTGCTGCAGCGCCTCACCGAGCACAACCGTTCACACTTATTTTTGTACGCGGTAGCTCCAGACCGCGCGCTTTGAAGATTAGTTGCCAGTTAATAAGACGTCAGTGGAGATGGACATAACTGAATTTGAGCTCTGGGCCATTGTTCTCGGGTGTGCTGCTGTTAAGATTTACACAAACAAGATTTACACAATTACATTTTCAAATAATTATCAGTTGCGAATGCATCACACTTTCAAAATCATACTAGACTGCCAGTGGACTTGTTTGACAGTCTTCTAAAGAAAATAATGCCACTCATCCAGAAGCAGGATGTTGGAATTGATGTGAAATTACATGCAATGGAATTCATTTGCAATAAAATTCATTAACACGATGGAATTGCGAATGCAACGTATGAATTTTCTTGCGAAACTCGTCAATGGTGACTTGTACACAAAAGTTTTTTAAAACTTAAACTATTTTCACCTGAGCTTGTTCTTTTGCATTTCGACTTTTATACTCCTTTGACTGAGCTCTCTACAGCCATCCAAGCTCTCTACAAAGATCAATTAGCCTCTCTACTAGAGCGCGAGTCCAAACAAGTGTGGCGTTAGTTGCTGTAGTGAAGGACCAACGTAAACAGTAACCTCGCTCAACCACGGACAGCCGTCCACTGAGTGCAGCGCTTGTGTTGCATGAGGCAGGGCGCCTGTGAATCGCTAGCTCGTCAATCGCTTCGTTGCCCACAAGAAGCGCACGTAGAGGGGCGGTGAGGCGCTTGACGCCCGTGTGCTGCCCTTAGTGTGAACGGGCCTTTACAACTCTGATATAATAATTCGACGGAGAAAAGGAGAAGGTACAGGTCTAAAATAATTGAATATTTCCACAGACTGCAGTACGTTGACGCCATGTTGCTGGAGGTCATGAGGCTGAGCTCCCTCGCGCCCATCGGTTTGATGCACTCAACCACCGCTGAAGTCACCTTCGAGGGCTTTGACATACCGAAAGTAAACCCAATACAATTGTTTGTTTTCTTTTCTAATTTTCTTCGACACCAGCAGATGGTTTTGTTACACCATTGCCGCAATCTTAGAAGCTTAATGTTCACAGAAAAACGAAGTTCGTTTCCGTTGTAACACTAATTCTTTTCCCAGGGCACTTCGGTTCTCGCGTGTGCCGAAATGTGTCATCGTGATCCGGTTTATTGGAAGCATCCTGACAAGTTCTATCCGGAACACTTCCTCGACGACGAAGGGAAACTTGATGGGAAAAAAGAAGGATTTCTACCTTTCTCTCTCGGTAAATGATACGTAGGAAGCTACTTATGTCAAATTTTCCGAATACTTAATTACCAATGATCAGAACAAATATCCAATTTAATTATTCACGCTCATGTGAAGTAAAAGTTATCCACAATCATGTGCTTCATAGTTTCGTGTTTGTTACTATAGTTACTATATACGTATATACCATAGTTTGTTCTTTGATTTACTATGTTTGTTTCTTGTCTCAGGACGTCGCCAGTGTCTCGGGGAGTCTCTGGCTCGCATGGAGCTCTACCTCTTCTCGACGGCCATCTTGCAGCGCTTCACAATAGAGCCACCAAAAGGCGTCACGCTCTCGACGGAGACTGATCCCTCGCAGATGGTCTTCAACTTTCCAAAGCCCTATGAAGTGCTATTGAAAAAGAGAATTTAAAACAGAATTGATGTCTGGTACTGTCGACATGACCGAATAAGTATAGATTATTGCTTCAATTATTTCTTCATACAATGACTATTTTACGTTCATCGAGAACGTACAATATGAACGTAAATATACCATACGGAAAAAAACAAACGATAAATAGTTGACAAACTTTCGCCACCTATATAAATGAGTAGCGAGTGTGACGGAACACAATTTTTGTGGATTATAATTTTTTTAGAATTGTCTCAGCATTCATTAAAATATCCTGCTGTCATATACCTAACCTGCCGTTAACCTGGCAGTTACCATCCGACTGCGGAAGGGAACCGTTGGGGCCCCAGTGCGTACGCAGGAGAACCCGCGCGAAAGGCGGCTCAGTCTTTCGTACTTGGGCACGATAGACTGAGCCGCAAGGGGTTGTGGATGAGGCTTCAGCAGAATCTACGAAGAACCTGGAGTGCCGAGGCCGAGAATGACGAAAGATCGACCACATTACCATGCAACCCGAAAAAGTTATAGAAAAGGGCAAAAAAAAGTTACAGGAAGCATTTATTAACAAATATTGCCATAATCGGAGTCACAATGAAATAAGATATAATTTAATTAACATGATCACACATACTGCTCCCATTTATGATCGAAAATGATTATATCCCTTAGCAATCCCTCATTAAAGTTTGACGTTTTCAGACTGGCTGAGCGCCTTTCGTCGGCGGGATGACTGAATGAACCTCAAGTCTGAAGTGAACCATAATGAAAATTAATTTCTTTCAATTTTTGAAGGTTAGTCTCGACGTTAAAGAAGTAAGTTCTATACATAAGCATACCATCTAAGTGCAACTAAAAAATTCGATGCAATGAATCAAGAAGAAGAAAACAAAATTCTGCTTTTTAATTGCATTTCGCCGATGAAGGATATGTTAGTACCGACTACATCATTACAGGGTCATTATACATATTTTCTATTCCCACGGTAACAGACACTTCGAATACGCTACCAATTTGAAAGTAATATTAAAGTAATGTTTTTCGCTGACAATTCAACGTCACACACGGGCACAACGATCAACTCTCGGAGCAACGTTTTTCAATGATTTCGACTTACACGAACAGGTAAGCAGAGCTTGTATTTGTGGACGCGCATTTAGCTTAGCTATGTATGTATGTAACTATCAAGAAATAAAGCGATGCATATTACCTACACTAATAGCGCTGATTCAAGTTTAAGAAAAATGCAGAAAATTACCGTCAAGTGACCATATTGTTTACCGTCAAGTGACCAGAATCCAAAGAAAATATTATAACTTCCATATTTTGTTCAGAAATAACTTTTGCACTAAGTCATAATCGCTTATCTATTGTTTCAAAATAATTCATCCCATTTACAAAAAATCTGCACTAGGCTACAAACCAGCCTACAGTTAACAAGTTTTGCTTAACGTACAAACAGATTTTTAATAATGAGTCATGATAATATTGATTAATAAACTTGGGATTTGTGCCAAAACACCAAGTAAAAAAGAACAAATTTCGAAAAAATATCAGCAGAAGACAATTACATATGAAAACAACTATGAAAAGATATGACTTGCAGTGATACAATATAGAAAACAGCGCGATATAAAAGTCAAAATATAATAATGAATTCTCAATAGAACCGCGATCCTGTATCACAGGTGGTGCGATACTACAAAAATTCAAAACAAAATTCCCGACAGTTTTTCTAGATGGAAGATCGCAGACGTACACAAAGAATTACTTCACAAATAGCCAAGACCAGAAGAGGTTTAGCTGTCCGTGAACCGCGGCTCCCGCTTCTCCACGAACGCTGTCATTCCCTCCTGAACGTCGTTCTGCGGCGGCATAACAATAAATCAGAACTTAGCGAAATGTGAGAGAGAATTTTGCCTCAAACGATTAGATAATATTTTCTAATCATGACAAGTGGAGAGGATTATAGCATAAATCTTAGTTGCCTTACCTCGGGTGACTTGGCGAGAGTAGGTAGGCCATCAATTTAGATTTGATTCAATTGTATAAAATGCATTCTAGCATTGGTCTGCCTTTGACCTACTAAAATATGTTCATCATCACGGTTTTTAACAAGGTTTAAAACTGTAATAAAGGCAATGTATTTATTACTGATAAAGTAAAATCACACCTGATCTAGTGTAGAAGTAGCGCAATAAATACTTAAATCAGTTTAACGGTTCTTCCAGTAAAATATCTGCGTAAAAAAATAGAATTCAAATAAATGCCAACATTGAATAATGACCCAAGTCTAAAGCTCTCTCGAATCCCTCTATAAAATGACAATCGCAGATTCTCAACGAGGCACATTTACAATAATGAATATAATTCACTGGTAGGAACAGCAGTCACTGGCAACAATAATATGTTACGATATACTCAAAAGACATGAATCAGACAAAAAATACGGTAGTTACCTAAAACATGAATGCATTTCTTATGTTTTTTAGGCATTTAATATTCTTGGACGCAATCCAATCATTCAATCATTGTAGATGTTAAAAATGTGCCTGATTTTCCTGGTGAAATTTGAGCATAAACATCACATGTCATGTCCTACAACGAAATGTGGCTGTAACTTTCCTAAAGGTCCTCTATTACAAGTAACGAAATCATAGTTTCACATTCAGCCACGTCTTGAATACTCATGGTAGCGAAGGTGGAGTAGAAAAGTTGCTTCTCGACTCTCAGGCCTTCAGTCAACGACAGATCGTACGCTGCAACAAAAAAATCCATGTATTTCAGTACGGCCGTCAAATTTGAAGCAAATATCATATACATTTATATGTGAAATAGCCACGTTCTCTCAAATGAATGAATATTCTGATACTGATAACTGTTCAGTCGTGATGTCTTCAAATGTAACAAAAAATAAATACACTGCGTAAAGACAATGCAGGCAGTTTTGCAGCGTTCACGTTCAGCTTATACGGTTTATAAAAATCTTGTTTACACATTGAATTCATAGTCAAATAAGTCTGAGAAACATTAAATTTTCCGATGTTAGCAATAAATAATCTGCACTACAAAACTATTACCTTTATGCTTCAACAATGACGCCCATAATCGAGTAAATCGAATCCAGACAAAATTGGAACAAAGAAGCTCAGCTGCTTGAGATATAGACATATACACAGCAGCTCAGACCATACATAAACTACATCAGCATATATATAGACCACACAGAAGCACAAAACCCCAAACCCCCATCGTTATGGCAATATACTGTATATTGGCTAAAAATCTCCTATCTGCGGCGCTGGTTGCCAAGCTTCACTGATAAAATGACATCAATAATTTCTCACTAATAAAATTTGGCAACGACTCGCCATTAGTTCAACATCAATATGGAACGTATTCAACATGTTTGTCAATAATTCAAGCATAAAGCAAGGCACGTGTGCGAAACTCACATTTGTTGATGGCTTCTTTGCATAACTGGACAGCTACTTTAGACTTGGAAGCAATTTTCTCTCCCAATTTGACGGCCTCGTTGACGAGCTGGTCAGGAGGGTACACCGCGCTCACTAACCCTGCGGCGATATATTTAATTAACCAAGAGTTGGATATTATGTGATATACCTAGCGTTTGGGATATATTAGAAGAACCAAAATGAGAAAGTGATAGTAATCAATTTATTGACTAACTGAAAAAGTTTTCACTTATGAAACGGCTCATTAAGCGCTTGAAGTGAGTTTCAACTGTACTAAAGCGGTTTGAGCTGCGGTGTGCGACGGACGTAAGGAAGTTAGCTCTAGTGTGACCTCAATAGTGAATTTATACTTTTTCTTTTCCGCGATCTTTGATTCCAGTGCTTACGGTGACTGCTAAACAACAACCATCCTCATGAAACGATCATTAGGTAAGCGAAAGAAGAAAGACCCTCCGACAGGTGCGTGGTCTCTAAGCTCATCAGATGTTGAATCTGAAAATGCATCAGCCCCACCACCACCAAAACAACGAATCAAACGATCGCACTCTGCCCTATCGCCAGTCAGTAATTCAAAACTTTCAGCTTCCACTTCTGAGACTTATAAAGATGGACTTATTTGTGGATTGGTAGATAGTATACTTTCTCTGCCTCCTATGCCAGCAGCACAGCACCAGGCTGGAGAAGTGGGGGATGTTCTCCTGAGATTGAAGGCATATCGGGCAATGTTGCTATTGATTCAGGTAGACAGTTAAAAGGAAAAACATGGACTAACTTTGAAGGATTTCAATCAAACCAACTTAGCCAAGATCTCCTTAGATCTCCCAAACCAAGCTCTCCTTAGAGGAGGTCTCAGATGCGAGTTTGAAATTGTTTCTGGACAAAAAATAGTTGCAAGTCAAAAAAACTATGATTCAAGCCAAACTCAGATTACTGAAAGTCAAGACAATGTGGTAATTCTGGTAGAGCCACTAGCTGATGAAAGCCCCACCTCAAAGTTCTTTGGCAATAACCTTTCACTCAGTAAGTCCTTGGCAACATCTCCTTTTGGCTCAGCAGGTATTAAGCAAATCAGGAAGAACATTGCCAGGAATATCCTCATTGTGATTCTTGACCGCCCTGTAGCATGTATGCCTGAATTTCTGTCCATCAGAAAAATAGGCTCTTGGAACGTGAGGTGCCGCCTTCCTCTAAATCTGACTCGCTCTGTTGGGGTGATTGGACCACTAGGTGAAGATTTTGGTGAGGTGAGCCAGCTATCCTCACTAGGTGAGGAGCTGGCACGGTCTGGCTATCCCGATACCTCAGCTGAGAGGATACTTAAGGGAAAAGATAAAATCAAAACCTCAATGTTTAAGATCAGTTTTCCATTGGGCGTCCTGCCAATCTATGTGCATCTGGGCTATCAGCGCTCCAGGGTTCCCAGCTTTGTGAGCAAGCCATGGCAGTGTTTTCGGTGTCAGGATTTTGGCCATAATGCTAAGGATTGCAAAGGTCCACCTCGATGCGTAGGATGTAGCGGCCCCCACATTATGAAAGATTGCCCTACCTCTGGTCACTCAGCTCCTAAGTGCTGTAACTGTGGAGGTCCCCACACAGCAAGCTACGGAGGGTGCCCACGCATGGAAGTTTGAATCCCATGTTGAGAAAACATGGACAGAAAAAAGAATTTCTTACAGGAATGCAGTTAAAGTGGTCTCAGCCAGAAAGATCAGCTGTGACCTACCGAGAACAAACTTTCCAGCCTCCTCAGTATTCCAGGATAGCACAGCAGCCCACCCATGGGTACAGTTCTCAAAACCATAATGGATTTGCAAAAAGCCAGAACATCATGACAAAATCAGTTGCCACCCAAACCTGTGGCAGCAATGAATCCTCTTCTGTTATGGGCAGTGTATCTGTTATTAAACTGGTTGAGCTCCTCTCAAGAGTTTTGTGCCTCTGTGGTAACACGGCAAACATCAATGTAGCCATCTAACAAGCACTCACCAAGGCAATTGCAGTCGTCAGAGCATTGGACATCAATCTGCCTGCTTCTATTAGAACTTTACAATGTCACTGATCAAGCACATGCATGAATAATATAATTGGAATTTTTCCCCCTGCCTGAAAAAATAAAGAGAAATGTTTTGTTTTGAATTAGAACATATACAATGAGTGAACAAATGAATAACAGATTTGGTTTGCGATGAAAAATACTGAAATAACCACCCGGCTACAACAGTATGCCTTTAATTATCCTTCAATAATATATGATTTTTCTTGATACCGGTACGGAAATTTGGTGAATGAGAAATCTAAAACTTTATTTTAGAAGAAATCTTCTGCAAAGTCATATGGCAACACTGAACACCGTTTGTTTACATTTCGTATGTATAATAGCCGCAGTTTACGATTACTGTACGTTCCGTATCCAACGAGCGGAAGAGTCGGAAGTAACCCAGACATGTCTTACATTTTATTATTGTTAGTTTGACTCGCATAGTTGATATAAACTTTGATCTTTCATCTTTGATGACCAACAAAATATAACTTTTTAATAGGGAGACTTCGTGTTTATTAAACTACAAGTAATAATCTGTATTTAATTAAAGCCATGTTGGAATGTTTTTTTTTTTTGAAGCCTGCTTCTAGATCATTAATGTTTTTATATACATCCTCGTATTGTTAGGGACGCTCGCTGCTTCCATCAGATCTTAAAATGTAAAGTAAAAGTTTAAAAGATACAGATTTGTATGAATAATGCCATTCAATATCGTTAGCTACATTAAATTAGGGGTGAAACATGGGAATGGCAATGATTAATTTATCTGAAGCAACCTTTACAAAATTAGCGTCAAACAAGCAAACGGATGTCATGTCAACCAGAACTCTAACACCACAGCAGAGAGTATTTTATGCAGCTAATGAATTTCGCAAACTTTGCTGGAAGTGAGATTATTAAGTTTAGAAAAAAGGTGGGATAATTTAATGAAGGGTGGTAGCAGAACTGCAATCTTGAAGTTGATACTCTATGGCGATTCGTGTATTGATAACCTACGTAACAATTTTCATATGATAGTTATAATTTTTGCACATTCATTCATTCATTGAAAATGGCTGGCAAAGCTTTGGGCTAAAAATCCATATCTTGGCAATGCTGCTTGCACCCTCTGCATCCTGGAGAGGTCTCAGCCAGAAATATCAGCTGTGACCCACCAGGAACTAACTTTCCAGCCTCCTCAATATTCCTGGGTAGCACAGCAGCCCACCAATGAGTACAGTTCTCAAAACCATAATATGTTTGCAAAAAGCCAAAACACCATGGCAAAATCAGTTTCCGCCCAAACCTGTAGCAGCAATGAATCCTCTTCTGATATGGGCAGTGTATCTGTTACCTAACTGCTTGAGTTACTCTTAAGTGTTTTGTGCCTTTGTGGCAACACGGCAAACATCAATATCATTGAGACAGCTACTAAAATTGCAGAATAGATATTCAAAGCTCCTGAGCAGCCCACCATCTCTACTGACAATGCACAGCTTCCAGTCCAACCATCACCAAAGCCACATGCTGCTTCATTGCATGAAAGTGAACCCATTGAGACAGAACTGGTAATGATGGAAACTGAAATAGAACCATCACCAATCATTGGTGGCCTGTACCTGCTGAACAAAGCTAAACATTCAAGCAAAACACAACCTCCTCCTACTCTGGGTGGAAAGATAACTAAGCAACCAACTTCACATCTTGGTAGTAGTCCCAGCTTTAAGATTGCATCCCTGGCCTCATCTCTGGATGCCAACACTCAGAATATGCAGCCATCCCCTATCATTGGGGGTCAAGGTGTGCATGGCAAGCACAAAGCTGTGAAGAAACCAGAGCCAACACCTTCTTGTAAAGGTAAAACTGATTTTGATTCCAACAAAGATGGTGATGGAACATGTAAAGGCTCAGCAGTGCAGGATGAAAGTCCCAAATGCCTCCCCAAAAGGAAGTAAAAATTGAACAATGGAATTGCCATAGCTTACGGGACCAACTTAGCAACTTCAAACTGCACTTATACTCAACCAAACCTCATGTTGCTTGTTTGAGTGAAACCTGGCTGACACAGAATACAGAACCTCACTTTATAAACTACTCTGCAGTTTTTCGACACTGCAGTAAGGTAAGTTTTTAAACTACCATAGGTACTCTTATTAAAGGTACACTATATGCTAATAACATTGCCAATGCTACAGCATTTCAAGTCACCAGCCTTCAATAGAAACAATCTATTAGGTAAATAAAATTGTACCACATTTTTCTAGTGCAATCAAAGCAGCTTTGTAGTCATCATGTGGTTATCAAACACTACAAATTGTAGGTCTGACTAGTATTTTATGGTTTCTGGTGAGTGGTGACAAGTAGTAAGGTAAGTGCAGTATAGTCAAATGGGGTAAGACAGGATCGCAGCCTTCATGGGGTAAGAAAGGACCAGCCCATGGCGTGCATTCTAATTGCACTGAATTCAATTTGACAAAAGAATATGTTAGTACAATCATTGCCTGTCATTTCTGTGTTTGTGGCAACCCTCTTCTGCTAAAAACTTGTTAGCTTTTTTAATTAGAGAAATTTAGTGCACTATTTTAAATTGCATCAGAGGGATATAGAAAATAGGGATGTCTATTCCCATTAGTGAGCTGCAAACCTATGTGCAAGATTGGCTGGGGGAAATATCATTGTATGAAACATGAAAAATAATTATGATCACAACTCTGTGACAGGGCATGAGCTATGTTTGAAGAAGTGCACCACAAATGCAGTTAGCAAGAAAACACATGACATCTGACACTTTTTATTACTGACACTTTATTACTGACATCTGACACTTTTTATTACTGACACTTTTTTACTGACACTTTTTTACTGACATCTGATACTTTATTTTTATTAGTACCAATTTGATAAATTTTTAAGATAATGACACTAATGGAATATACATGAAGCATCTAACAGTGCTCTACAATGAACCAAAGCCAACCCACTATTACTATGCTTAACAAAGTTTTCTCGTGAAAAAAACCCAATGTGACTGATATTAGAGTTGACTTCCCACAACATAAAACAGTAACAAGTGATTGTTTTATCAAATAATGTGTTTCTAGATGTACAATATTGAATATCAGGTTTGTACTTTTATTGAAAACCTTGCAACATAAGAATTACCTGTTGGTCCTTTCTTACCCCAGCCTGGTCCCATCTTACCCCAATGGGGTAAGATGGGACTGGCTCACTTTTTTAAATCTGTACAGAAAACTATGTTAGATGCAAAACGTCTGAGTTGTAGCTTAAAAGCCCATTGCATAACTACACCTTGTGATAGGTTTAGGGTTTTTAGTTATTCATGGTATAGATGCTACAGGCTTGTTAGTGATTTTGGTCCTGTCTTACCCCATCTGACTATAATTGCTAATTGGCAACTTCTGTGTCATTGATGTTAAGCCTGAAAACATCTGCTCTCCAAGTGGGGACTGGATTACTGGTGCCAAGTTGTTGGATATTTGGGCTGTGATTCATTATTTCCAGGCCAGGAATTCTTTTTCCAGGCTGTGGAAAGTAATTTTTGAGCTGCCATATCATTTTCTTAACTGCAAGCCAATTTGCCAAGTCATGCACATGTATTTCATCAAATCTCTAATTTTACCCTTGAAGTAGCTAGAAAAAATGGCAAGAGTAGCTAGAAAAGTAGCTATCTAGAAGTAGGTAGAAAACTAGCCCTCATCAAGATTATTCATACTTACAGTGCTATGGCTCTCTACCCTGTAGCATTCTTGCGCATGGGAAAGAAAATGAAATTGATGGAGGTATTGGGCAATGCTGGCTTTTAACATGCTTCTCTTTTCCAAGACACTCCAGGTTTAATTTTTTGGCATGGGAGTCATTGTGGTGGTAGCTTTATTTTTTGAATAAATATAAATGCACATGCTAGTTGCTTTCAACTGATAACTATGAAGAGGCTTTTCATTGAGTTATTACTATGGAATTATCAATTAAGTTGAAGGGTTGTCCATTCCAACATAATCTATTCATTTCTATTTTTACAGAGATTAATTGTCTTTAAAAATTTTAACCAAGTTTTTCATTAAATGATTACATAAACTAATACACATAGTATGATCTGACCAAATGCAATTAAATATTATTCAAGCTTATCAAATACTTCTAAAGTATTCAGCTCTGTTTTCTCAATTCATGATTCCTATTTTTCCAAAAGTTATTTGATGCAAAATGGAGGTGCAAGATATTCTGTATCCCAAAGCCCAATATATTGAAACTGTAAGTAAAATGTAGCTAAGTTCTCACTTAAAACCTTATTTCTATTGAGGGGTTGCTCATTTATTTGGAAACTTTGACTTAACTCACCATAGATTCATGTATCAAATGTACGTACCTATTTATTGTTGATATTCCTGTCATCTTTAATTGTGTTGAGCTGAAAAGTCTTCTGTTGTCTCCCCATATATTTCATTTTTTTTCATTTTTTTTTGTCTACTCTGCTCCAGCATAGCAAACTATCACTGAAATTGATGTGCAATATATAAGAGCCTCAAATTAAATCATTGTATTGGTTTCCTGACTTCATTCCTGATGAAGGCAATCATATGGATATTTTCAGAGAATGAAAACATACAAAATCTTTATACAGTTATTGCCAATAACATTTTCTCATGCATGCATAATATAGTCCAATGCAATGGATTTTTTTGTGATCAAGCAAAATATTACAGGCCACAGGCAATCGCGTGAGCCGCGCAAGTATCTTGTGTGGCTCCCAACACATCGTTCTGAGCGGTAAGGTGATCGTCTTGTCTGGAGCCATCATCAGGGGAGACTTGGCTAACGTGCGTGTTGGTCGTCACTGTTTCATTGCGACCAAAGCTGTCATCAGACCGCCATTCAAGAAATTTAGTAAAGGGTGAGTGAAATTTTATCTACAATCAATAGTAGTACAAACATGATAACAGATTTTAACAGAATATGCTTTTTTCATTTCATAATTATGATACTTTTTAGTGGCCCCAAACCTCAAAGATCTTGGTAACTTTTCTAAAATAGGGTGGCATTCTTCCCACTTCACATCGGTGACCATGTCTACATTGGTGAGGGCTCTGTTGTGAATGCTGCTGCCATCGGATCTTACGTACACATAGGCAAGAACTGCGTCATAGTGAGTTTTCCTATGTAAATCCTGCATCCAAATTTAAAATTTTTCATCTTAAAGCATTTACTACACAGGAGGGTTATATTATTATCCAGTTTAATAAAATTTTTATATTAGATAATCGTCTTAATATTGATCACAGAGCGTGATATATTTGCCACCTACAATTTAAATTTCTGAGCTTTAGACTGTTGTTTACACTTTGTGCCTTTAGCCAGGCATAGAAGTAAAGCATGATATTATTTAACAGGGGAGACGCTGCGTTCTGAAGGACTGCTGCCACATTGCTGACAACACCGTGCTGCCCCCGGAGACTGTAGTGCCGCCCTTTGCAATCATGTCGGGGTCTCCAGCTTACCACGTTGCCGACCTCCCTGAAGCCACGCCTGACCTCATGATGGACTACACGCGTTCCCTGTACAACCACTTCATCATGGTCAAGGAGGTCCAGGCGGACAAGAACAAGAAGAGCGACAGCACCGCCAAGCTGGTCGAACTCTGAGGCAGTGCCTATCATCTGTGATTAATCAGAAATTAGTTTTATCTATTCCATGTTTTGGATCACTCTGCGCTAGCAAATAACGTCTTTAGCATAAATTAGAAACATAACTATTTAAAATATGTTTTTGTGTATTTATCTTTTTCAACTTTATAGTTTCTAGTCTTCATAATTCATCTTTCTCTATCCAATAATGATGTAAGGACTTTAAAGGCAAAGGCAAACACCGACATATATTTCATTTCAAAATTATAACTGCTTTATAAATAAGGACTCTTGCTTGGTCGCTGCAATATATATATATATATATACTCGAGGACAATTAATTCATGTGAAATTGATAACGCATCTTTCTGTGGTTACCAAAGTGAAGAGATGGGAACATCTTCATAAATATACTAATTTTTAGAAGTCCTAATTTCTATAGTTGTATTATAATTCGATTATGGAATAATTCTTTTAGGTACACATCTCTTTGTAAAATCGATAATTTTCAATTAAAGGTTGCAGTCATTCATATTTATATAATAAATAACGCAATAAAAATTCAGCCTAATATTGATTGAATATTCATACATCTTCATTCAATCGCCTATTCCATAGAAAAGAATTTACTTGAACATTACAAATGGGTTTCATCTGCTCAATAAATTCATCCAACATTTTGTGAGCTAACTTATATCATAAAAACTGGCCATATTCAAGGAGTCGGCCAACGTATAAAAACTTACCACGCTCAGGGAAGCTTGCAAGGCTAAAAATCCTTTATTGACAGCATTGAACTAATTTATAAATAACTATTTTGATATAAATTGTAGATTATTTGTAAATGAGAAAGGTAATGGTACGGCAAGTTGAATTAATAATTTTCAAACTCAATTTTTCTGATAAATTTCACGAAAGTACTAACGTTGAGATACTTATCTTAGGCTTATGGTACATCTTGGTACAAAAATTTCATTTGAGATTTCAAAATAATTGCTAACATTTTACTACTCATTTGCATGGTACAAAAGTGCCGAAATCAGCAATTCAAAACATATGTTAATCAAAATGTTATATAGAAACAATACTAAAAATTCGACTGACTGAACTAAACAACGGTGTACGATGTAGAATCTTTGCATGGAGTGCAACTCCTACAGATTCACGTCTGGCCAAACGGGCATTTTGTGAACTTCTAATGATTCGCCAGTCACACATTCATCATTAGGCCTGCAAAGGAAACTTAAATCCGAATACCAGCGGATGTGGAAAAATCACTCGCAGAAATTTTTAATTAAAATACTCCTGAAAGATGCTTCAGCGTTTGTATTCAATACTCCGCACATAGACTAGAACGAATACCTAAGCGTGCTCAGGAATGATGCCGAGAGCCGCAATTCTAAATCTAGACAACAACTTCCAACCATCGTCTGGACACATGGCTACCGAGTCCAACGAGCCATTAATAAATGCCTTATAAATGCTTGTTTGTAACTTCACAGTTACATTAAAAAATGAAAAGGTATATACTCTAGCGTCACATCAGAAGGGTACAATCAGTCCCTTCACGCAACTTATAATTTGAAACATACATCACGAACACATTCGTACTTTCCCATATAATTTGAAGCGCAGTTCAACAGCAGAACAAGTAAGGTATTTAAATCAACTTAGAAGCCTACAATTAATAGCTAACACCATTGGCTATAAAACTAGGTATTAATTTATTTAGATTGGGATTTCATCAGTAGCATTCTTCGGAACAAATGCTCCTACATTTATATCCCGCTAAATGACGTATTTTAGCAAGATACGAAACTTCATGAGCGATCATTTCTGTGTGACTTGGAGTAAAATAAAATGTATTGTTCACGAGATCAAAATTTCAGTACAATGAGAACCACCTGAAAGACTTGAGGACACTGCTAATGATACTGAGCGAGCACGTATTCTCTAGAACTCTCCAGCTAGGTAATAAAAAAATAGATTTCAATCTAGATGCCCAGAAAAATTACGCGTACTGAAAAAACGCTGCATTCATCTTCTAGGCTAGATAATCCTGATAAATATTACTGAGAAAATTATTGTCGAGGAAAACGACACTTTCCTGTCAAATAAAAAATTGTATGTAGTGGAAAATTTTTCATGAAAATTCCAGTATGTGTATAGAATGAAATTTTCTCGCTACCAGAAAGACAACAGAAAATTATATTCTTGTGTGAATTAGTTTTACGGATTTGATTAACATTTTCACAGTAATGCCGACGCGAAACAAGCTCCTCGGAATACCTAAAAAGATTCCAACTTTGCAAAGTAAAGTGACGAAGGAAGACAAGGTTTAAAATTAACAGAAAAATATTGGTAGAAACGGAATGGAAGGCGATAGTCAGAGTGCATTCTCCAGGCTTTGCAGTACAACTATTTATATTAAAATAAATTATTTATTTTATTCGTTGCTAAAGCTAAAAATCTACAAGAGCAAGAAAGAGATCATGACTCACTGGTTCGAGAGTACATGATATCGATCAACTCTTATATTCAATAGAAAGGAATTTACAGCTTCGATGAAAAAGAAGTGCAGAAACTACCATAATACACGTAAGTTTAGTGACTCGCAAATAGCTTTTAGGAGAGAGCTTCACGTCAGGTTTTCTCACAAACTATAATTTACTTACATTTGTTATTGAAGATGTCAGTAAATTTGCGACGTTCTTCAACACGAACAATATAATATGCTGCGATGATGAAGAGTATACTGTTCTCAGAATTACTGTAATATCACTATTAATAATAGCACAACGTTTCAGCAGATCATAATTCAAACTACACAACACGATAGGAAACAAGGAATGTTTGAAAGGATTGAAGGAAAAAGAAAATACTTATAAAAGAATACTGCATGGTACCGAAGTGTGGCAAAATGGCCAAGAAAATTGTGCAGCTCTAGGGTGTGTTTGCAAGTGCAAACTAAACAAAAATTGATCAAATCTAACTAAAACTAGACAGATAAATTTAGAAAATTGAATATTTGCCAAAAGATTTTTTAAACATTGAATTTAATGACAACAATCATAGATACCACAATTACACGTGGTGAAATTATGGGCACAACTGACAAAATCTTAAGCACAAATCATAAAGCAAAAAAACATACAACTAGAAAGTCGGATCAACTAATAAACGAAACCCAACAAAAACAACTCAAAGGAAGACCAATTACATCAAAGCAAAAGGAGCTGCTGGATGACCCAACAAAGGCTTCCCCAGCTCCTCAAAATGGGGTGGTGGTGGCTTCAAATCCTGGTGAAGGGAGCAGAGGGGCTGTCGGTGACTCGGCGATCTCCCAGGGCGGCTTGGGCAAAGAAGCTTGTCCAGGCAGCAGCGGCGACATTATGGGCACTACCAGATCGTCCATGTTGGGCAGCACGAATATTTTCTCGAAGACTTTACGCAGCTGTCGCTCAATGAAGTTGGAGAGGAAAGGTAAAGACAGCGGCTGATCCCCAAGCTTTGGTTCAGCTTTCATGACGAGCTTTGGTCGCGTCCTGAAACCGTACCAGATGCGGTCTGACGGCTGGGGTGGAATGTTCACAGCCAGCACTCCACAGAGCTTCTCTACCCTCACTGACAGAACTATTCTAGTATTACTAACTCCCTTCATTGCTTTGCGGAGGATGCCCCAGTCAGTGGCTTGCTGGAAATAGCGTGAGCCAGTAAGCGTGTCCACGAGTTTCATAAGACGTCGTCCTCCCCCAGGGGGTGACACACCTTCAGAGGATTGGCTCGTCACTTCACTACTCGTGACGTCCTCGTCATCGCTGCTCGACTCGACGCTGTCGTCCGTGTCAGTGTCGAAGTGAAGTTCACGGAACTGAGCGCCGTGAGGAGCGAAGCGTGCAGATGATCGCTTCACCCGCGCCCCAGCTTCTTGCACGGGGCCTGAGGAATTACCTAACCCTCCCTGCACACTGTCCCCTCGTTTCAATTTCATGAGGTCGATCTTAGTCTCGATGGTCATGGTAAAATTTCCGTCGTATTGTACAGACAAATCGCACCACAATCCACAGTTATCTTGCACGGGCGGGTCCACAGAATGCAGCTGAGGGATGGCCTTGCCTGCAGTCACCCCGCACACCACGAGCTCCCCAACCAGCGGCGGCAGGTGCACTTTGCTCAGCTTACGTTGGATGCGCTCTTGTATCTACAAGCCAAAAAATAATCCATGCGATTATAGCTTTACTGCTTTCGCTATCAACTGACATAACATTAATGTTCATTACCTATGAAATAAAAATTATCTATCAACTGACTATTGACCGTTACAGCCATCATGATCACCTTAGACACATTTTAAGTTGCTAGAAGAAACAAAATATGTCCTCATCGATATTAAAAGCAACACTCACTTTATTAGCCCAGTAAGGATTGTGCAGGAAGTCATACAAGAGTCTGCCGGCCAGGATGTTGATCCAAGAGACCTCAGGCGTGACAGGCTGCCACGGGTGCAGCAAGCGGTCCATGTAGCATCTGAAGACGGCGTCACTCTCCCATGTTGACTCGCCCTTCAGTTGCGCTGCTGCGACGAAGCGACGGAACCTGGACGGAAAATACAGAATCTCATTCATTAAAAAATTATGTCAATGACTAGTTCAGTGCATTCTTAAAAGTAACAGTAGGTGCCACATGAAGGGACCTTCTATGCAACAAATGGCTGGTCAGATATGTTGCTAAGTGACAACGCAACTTTAAATATAATAACTCGATCCCAGAGTATTTATTGACCCTTGTAAGTAATTAACATGGTTATTCATCATGATTTAATTAAAATTTAATGACCTATGTAACTAATTAACATCAAGTTTAATTTTTTAAATATTTCAAACATGGCAATTTGTCTAGAATAGAGAGGAAATGTACCAGATTTCCTTATCCCTGTCAGATCTGGCGAAGAAATAGAGCTGTTCCTCAAAGCACATATCTTCAGTCACATGCTCGAACGAGTCCAGCTCTGCCGCGCCCAAAGTGGCATCGATGCCTCCCGCGCTCTCATCTTCTTCAGAAATTGTTGACTTTTTCTCATTCTCTTCGTCTTTGAAGAAAAATAAAAAAATATTCACTATGAACCAATATTCAAACTTATTGATTTGGTTTTACAAATGAAATATTAAAAAAACTCCATCATACAAATGTGAATTCTATACATAGATGAGAATGTAAGGAATAATGAATATAATAAATGTTGAAGTACCATCAGGAAGTGGAGCAAGAAGGTCAGCTGGAATACTTGAAGTGATGAGCCGAGCTGTCCTCCTGAGACGTACACACACTGGATACTTGCGACTCCACAGCCACCGTCGCGGCAGGTAGTCAGGCTCGAGCGTCACGCTAGCGCCACTCAAGTCGTAATCGCGGTGATGCACGAAGCCCCCGCTGTCCAACTTTTCCTCGAAGTGAGCGTGCTTGTGCACCTTCTTGCGGGGATGATCGACCATCAGCAGGGTGCCATGCAGGCGCACGAAAATGCAGTGAATTTTCGAAACATGATGTTCTTCTGGGTGGTATTCACCATCTAATTTGTTGAGCCATCCCTGACGGAACAGATCAGTGTGAGTAGAGAAAACAAACTCATGTTGAATGCAACTATTTAATTCCTCAGAATATTATAATACAAGATATTTTACAGACATCAATACTAGGTATATATGAGACCCTTAATCTATGGGAAATGAGGTTTAGCTAACTGGGATAATCGAGCAAGTTAAAGCGTGATTGCATTGTGTTGTAGTCTTGATTCACTGTTCAAATTACCTAAAACAGCTCTAAATTCCAATAGCCAAGCACGTACCTTGAAGCACAAATTATCTTCTTCAGAAGGTGATGTTAAAGTTATCTGCTCTTGCTGCACACACTTGTCCTCAGAAACTGCTTTGGCAGATTGAGGTAAGAGGAACTTGGTTGCTAGAACGTATAAGGAACTGATAGAGATACTGAGACCAAAAATCAAACCAGCCAAAAATCTTGGCATTGGTAAAACAAAACATGTTATGAAAATAGTAGATACAATGATCATTTTCCAGTAATAGCGTAATTTAACAGGGAGATATGTTGTAAGGTTCATAATCCCTAAATCATCATCATCATCAACATCAGACTGGCTCAACTTCCCTGTCAAGTTCAAGTTATCAATAACTGAAGAATTGAATGTTGATATTCTATTTTTGCCTTGGAAATTTTTCTCATGGATATTGGAAAAATGCACAGATTTTTCATCCAATATAGAAAGAGATGGGTCTTCTTCAGCTTCAACTGCATCTTCTATGGAGACATCCAACACAGGAGAACTTGGTATCTTGGGTGGAGAAGCAAAATCCAGTGCCAGTGCCCTGTTACTGAGGCTGGAGCTCAATGATATTCCTTTAATGCCTCGGCCATCTTTCCGATTTCTGAACCGAATATCAAATACACTGGGAGATGTGTGCTTCTTTTCTGCAGTCAATCGATGTTGAGAATCATTAGTAGAATTTGCCTCATTAACTTGAAGCTTTGTTGGAGGCAGTGGCTTGAAACAATCGGATGGAGAATCATCTGAGACCTTTGAGTAAAGCTCATCATTTTTAGACTCTGAGGCCAAGTGAGAAAATGATATGCATTCATCCTCCAAAAGGCCAATGTGAGCCAAGTCACTTTCATGAGAAGAAAGGTTTGTATTTCTCCCCCTCTCAGATCTGATTTTACCTATTCTGTCTTCCAAGGTTTTGCTCAGCCGAGAAAAAAGACTCTTCGGTGAAGCGCTGGCACTAGCGGTACCAGAGGGTAGATTGGGAAAAGGACGAGGATCACATGGGGTATTAGTATGAAGGACATCATCATATTTTGGTAAATCTTCTACATGAGCAGACTCAAGACTTTGAATAGAAGAGCCAAGTGAAGCATCCAAGCTCAGAGAACGCTTTCCAGATGAGTGGAGGGAAGAACATTGTGGAGCAGAACATGATAAAAGATCAGCATTCCCTGATAAGCTATCATCATCTTCATCAACACCATGAGACTCAGGATCCATACCTGCAAAAAATGCATTTTTAACTGCATTACAATATAAGAAATTAATGATTCAGGTCATATAGAGGTTTACATTGAGGCAATATAAACCATTTGAAAATTTGCAAGTAAGAAATTTATTGCATAGCATATTTAGTAAATTTAGAATTTGTTGGATTAAATCATGAGAGAGTCAAACAATTCTTTAGACGACATTGGCAGATCAAAAGACATGTCTCAGGAAGAAGTTTTAGTTTATTAGCGATGTTTCAAATGCAATGAACAATCATTTTTAAGTTACAAGAAGCATTAAATATTGAATTTTTGGTGGAGATAAGTACATGATATAACTTAATAGGATCCAACAGCAAAATTTTGAACCAGAAAAATCACTCTGAAAACGATCTCAAATTCCAGACAAATCTGGTAGTTAGGGAATAGATAGCCGGAGTCCAATTTGACGAGATGAGGGGTTCAGCTATTGTTGAATGGCTGATATGGGGCCACTGCTTGATGATGATGCTGGAGAGTTCTTCCAGCACAATGCCAGTGATGGTCTATCTGTGAGCTTGTCTCATGTGGTTCACTTGCTCTCCAGTTTGCTAATGAGCTCAGTGTCCTTGCTCTCCAGCTCAGTGTCCTGGTTGTTAGTTTAATTTTTCTGATGCAGTCTAAATCATGAGGAAGTCTACCACCTTCTTTGAAGCAAAATTTATAGACTAAATCAGCCTCTTCAATAACACCCACATTTTTGCAGGGGCTATTATTGCATTTAGTTAGGAGTTTGAAGTTGTTGTCAAGGGTGTCATGAAGCCTGTTGAAATCAACATTCTTGAGATGAAATTGCTTGTTTGTAATGCTTTGAAACCTGGTCTGATTATGAGCTTATCTCAGGTGGTAGGTAGGAGAAATGGCTGTTCAGTGTCACAGTTTTTACTCAAAGAACTCCAATGCAATCTAAAACATGAAGACGTTTAAAACCTTTGAAGTAAAATTTATAGAATACACCAGTCTCTTGAAGAACTCTTGCTTTATCTCCAGGGCCAATGCTGCATATATTCTGGGGGTTTGACGTTATTGTCGTAGGTGTCACAAAACCTGTTGAACTCATGGATGATCTTGAGATGGAGTTAATTGTAATACTTTGAGACCTGATCTGATTGTGAGCTTGTCTCAGGCGCCAGGCAAAACGGCTATTCAATGGCTGTCTTCTCAACCAAAATTTTATTATTTAATGCTTCTTGTAACTTGAAAATGAAACTGAATGTTTGTTGCATTCAAAACATTGTTAATAAACTTTCTGAAATATGCCTTTTGATCTACCAACATCATCTGAAGAATGGTTCTAAGAGCATTTTAAATTCTCTGGTCATTAATTGCATGTATATAAACACACTCGTATATATACTCCTGGATGTACAGAAAGTTATGAATATATATTTCTAAAATCACAATTTCTGTGTTAATTTTGCATACAAGCTCCAATCAGAACTTGTTCAAATAATATAGAAAGAAGGTGCTTCAACTATTAGCAAATTGATCCTATTTTCTAGTCACAAGTTTATTTCCAGAGCCACAAAATTTGCTGCTACCAAGCCATTGGAGAACAATTTGGAACAATAAGAATTTAGCCCAGCATTGCCTGGGCTTAATAATTTTCAAAAACTGTTATCCAGAATACCAAAATTAATCAATTTCATGCATGTTATATGATTTAAAAAAATACTTTTTCAAACTCACTCTTTACATAGAACTCCAATTAAAATCTATTTCAAAATAATAGAAAAAAACATCAGAAATTTTATGTTATAATTCATTTTCAACCATTTAAATTTAAATTTCAATTTTTGATCAAATGCTTTCCCACCAAGTTTTGCAATGCCTTTCTATTCTACATTTACCAATAAAATTTCAGGTCATGGTAATATCTTAATACTATCATAAGTCTTGAAGAAATGTGCTGCAGTGCCTGATCAGCCCTTGAGTAACCTGGTTAGCCCAGCATGACCATAGATCAATAATTCAGGCAATTTGCAATCAAAAATCTCATAAATCAAATCCCATCAATAAGAAAATAATACCTACTGATAAAGGAAAAACTATTCAATTTCATGTTTCATATTTCATTTTCTTCCAATTGCAAAACAAAGAAAAATTTATTATTCTTCTTCCAATTAAAATTCTAGCTTTTATCTTATTATTTCCCTGGAAACTGGCAACATTTTGGATCTAAAAACCTGATCTTGGCAACTTAATTGCCAACTCGCATTTTGGTTCATAGCCAACATAAGCCAAGACTCCTAAAAAAAGCTTGGTGGTGGCCAAAACCCAGGTCCTTACCAATCTACCTTCCTGATTATGAGAACCTAATAAGGCCTTAGTTTTGATTGATTAGTTAGACCAAAAAAAAAAATTTTTGGTGACCTAAAAATGCTGGTCTGAGATTGTTTGCTCTTAGGACAAAATTCTTCTATGGGTATTTAAAAAAAAATTTGTAAATAAAATTTCAAGTTTTTTATTTTGTTAAGCTGATATGCAAGTTGCTATCTTACATTTTTTCATGACCTTGGTTTGGCAGACAGGGGTTGGTCTGGCTGAGTTTAAGGGGAGCATCTAATTTTTTTCTGATTAAAACCAACTTTTTTTTATTTATGGACTGATCACTTAGAAACTTGGCACACATGTGTAAAACAGAAATCTAAAACTTCTTAGTTCCTATAAATTTTTCAGAAAAATGGAAGAAAATGTGAAAGAACATATAAAAGAACATATCTAGGGATTGGTTGTAGTTTTTTTAAATTCTCATTTTGGTGGGTGGGGGGGTGGATTTTTAGTCAATTTTCCTATTACCCCCTTTTTTACAAAATATGCGTAGTCCAAACTATAAAAAAATTACAAAAGAGCTACAACCATTCTTTAAATCTTTTTTATAAATTGAATGGTATATCTCTCAATGCTGTAGTAGCTTGAAAAATAATAGGAGGAGATAGATTTTCAAGATGGTGCATTTTGGAAATTTTATTTGTTCAGGGAAGCCAAATAAGTAAAATTTATTTTAAAAAAGGAGATTATGCCAAAAATTGCATGATATTTTAGCCCAAGTTTTCCCCATTGCCATTGTACTTAAGGGGACCAGCTTAATGAGAACTTAAGGGGGGAAAAATGAGAAAAAATGAGAAAAATGGGAAAAAACGTGCATAAAAAAACTATGAGGAAAATGAGAAAAATGATCATAGAGTTGATAGGTATGGTCTTTACAAATCGAATGATACATGTCTCGATGTTGTAGGATGATATTTGTAGGAGGAGATAGATTTTCTAAAGTACCGTAAAATAGGGTAACTTAGACCAGCGGGGTAACTTAGACCACTTTTCGTTTTTTTAACAAAAACCCCCAAAACTCAAAAACTATTTGACATAGAACAATGTTGTCAATGGGCATTAAAGGCCTAATACTGAGGCTACATAACACAATAGAAAGATTTAAAAAGTTTGCATATCTAATAGGTTAAAAAATTAAAAATGTAACCCATGAAAAAAAGCTATTATTTAAAGCCTAGCCTGTCAGATTACCCCTCTAATTTTTTTATTTTTTGGTTAAATAACTCCAGGTTTTGATGCATTGTAGTAGAACTCTTCTAGTTACATATGCAAATGACAAATTTTAGGAAAGTGTCATAGTTTGCAAATGGGGGGCACCACCTCCAAATGGGGGAACTTAGACCACCTAATGTCAGCCCTGACGGGGTAACATAGACCGGCTTGAAAGTTCATATAAAATTACCATATATAACATATTTTATGTTTGACAGCCTATTTATGTTTTTTCTTTATGTTTCAGCCTCTACAGAGTCTTATATATGGTAATTTTAACTTAATTTCCAAGCCAGTCAATATTTACCCCATCAGGGCTGCCATTAGGTAGTCACATTTCCCCCATTAATGGGGGAAGTGCCCCCCATTTGCAAACTATGACACTTTCCTCAAGTTTGTCATTTGCAACTAGAAGAGTTCTACTACAATGCACCAAAACCTGGAGTTATTTGGTGTGATTTTACCAAAAAAATATAATTGATTTTACCACCCAGTCTAAGATATCCCAAGAGCTGGGGTAACAAAGACCATCACTTTTTTTGAAATTACATAAAGACTATCAGAGGCAGGAGCCAGCAATTTATGGTGAGTGAAGCTAGAGTATAGACCTGTATTTTGCATGTTTCAATTCAAGTTTAATTTAGCTAGTAAAAAAATGGCATCATTTATAAAAAAAAAAGTGGTCTAAGTTACCCTTTTTTAGCCGTTTTCTATGAATTTCATGTTTTCTATAAATTTTTTTGTAAAATTCATAGGAGCAAAATGTTATTGTTTTTACATTTTACATATGTATGTAAAGTTTCATGATGATAGGATACTAACTGTAGAAGTTTTTCCGGAGGGTAGCCGGTCCCCTCAAGGTACCAGCACGCATCTTTGGACTTAATCTTGTCCAGTTTAGCAAAAATAATAAGCTATAAATGTGATATTTATATATATATATATTTATATAGAAAATGTTCGTTTCATACATGTTCCAAATGTCCTTATGCAAAAATTATTGCATGTACATCCATGGCATCAGCTGTGTTGAATGCATCTTGTTTGTAGCTTTTAAACGAGTGCAAACACTTTGCAATTAACAAGAATAATGATCCATAAATACCATTTTTAATTGTAAATTTATAAATAGTTATAAAATGGTCATTTTATAAAAATTCAAAACAGCCTTGCACAAAAACTATTACAAACACATCTATGTTACGTATTAGCTTTGTTGAACGAGTCTTGTTTGTAGCTTTCAAATGAGTGCAAACACTTGGCAATTACTGAGAATAATGATCTATATATGTACAGATTGTACTTATTGTGTTCTAAGGCAATCTATTGCATTCCAACGTGATCTATTGCATTCCAACATGATCTATTGCATTCCAATGCAATCTAATGCATTCCAACGTGATCTATTGCATTCCTTTGTGATCTATTGC